TGCAGTATCCCCAAGTCGTACATGACTTGCCTTGGCTTGTCTTTGAGGCAGGCACTAGAAACTGGAAAGGACCGCTCTTGGCCCCAAGCCTGCCACTCTGCCATTTAGTGTCTGCTCAGGATCTGGGGCAGTGCTGGTAGAGCAGGGGCACTGGAGGGGTACTACTGCTGCTGCCCCATGCTACAGCCACCAGCTGCTCTCTTCCAGAGGGCTGCCCCAAAAACAGGGGCCCACAGTCTGCTCCCACATCTCCCTAAAGTCCTACTGCCACCCCAGGACACAGCCCTGAGGTTTGCAGGGCAGAACCAGACCAGTCTCTTCATGCTGCCTTGTGGCCTTTTATGACCAGAGACCCTGGTCAGTGCCAGCTTGACATTGCTAAGGACTCAATGTGCAAATATTTCTATTCCTGTTCTTTCTCAAATCACTCTCGATGGTGTTTCTAGTAGTTATTGTAATTCAGTGGGGACTTGGCAATTCACCAGTGCTGGCATTTTCCCTTAGTCTAACGCAGTGAAGTAATAAAAAGCAACCACTGAAGACCTTGGACCTGCTATACAGCAAGGCAGCAAGGGAAATTCAACATTTTCCTTGTAACCATGACTCAGATTCACAGCCCTGAAGAGCAGTTTGTGCCACCACCAGTTAGCTTTCTGCCACATCTGTCCACACATACCAGGATGATTCCTTTCTGAGAAGCTGTCAGGGAAACAGCAGTAGTTGGGAACTTCAGAAGCGGGTGTGCTCTTGTCTGCATCTGACCATTGCCTGTTAATTACTTGTAGAGCACAAGAGGTGTATTTGATGCTAGACAAACAGCATGTAAGACAAATCTCTTTCTCCAATAAGCTTTTCATGAACACAGATTATGCAGATGCCAACAGGCAAGGCAGGATCAGGCACGATGGAGGGAGCCAACCATGTCGCGGAGGAGGATGGTGATGGAAGGAAAGACAAAAGGTGTGAGCCATTTAGAGAAATTGGAAGGAGATGATTTGTTGAAGGGAAGAGAAATTGTTTTCCAGCCATGGGAAAACAAAACAGAAAAAGGCTGCAGAGATGTCAAAAGCACCAGAGAGTAAAGAGCAGACATAGCAGCTTGAGGCTCAGAATCATCACTGCTCCAGTTCTTGCCACCAGATCTTGCTTGTGCAATCAAGCAAGATTGCAATCTGTAAAGAGTTGGGATTATTCCAAGAGATACAGTAGACAGGATTGCCATGTGTTGACTTCTTGTAACATGCACTGATATCCTGGATGCATGGCATGAAAGAATAAGCTGGAAATTGGGAGGTACAGGCATGCCAGCATCTACTCTAGGCTGCCCATGCAGAGCTATGTGGTCCTGTGTACCTGAGGCCACTTTGTCTCATAGCAGTGTTGATCAGACCCTGTGTCATCATCCTCACAGGAGACACAGCCCACAATCCAGGCCGCTCAGCTGTTATAGCTGCAAACTGCAGGCAGAAGAGCAGCTGACAAAAAGGCATCTTTTAAATCAATAGGCAACCCAATGTCTTTCTGATTCACAGTGCCCTCATTCAATATCCTGATGGAACAAAGGTAAGTTTTCATTTGATGGTCTACCTACTTGGATGCCTTTTTGAAACCCTGTGCTGACCACATCAGATCTTGCAATTCCTCTCTTCCTTGCCAGGATGCACTTACACATTGGCTGCTTTATAGTAGTTGAGGTGGTGCTTTTATTTTAAGCACTTCTTTTCATTGGTTTCTGCAACCTTCTGAAACCAGTTGGTGTTTTTTTTCCCCCTAGGCTGAAATTTCTCACGCTCATGCTCAGCCCCAGGTGATGAAAGTTTGACGATAATCTGCTGTTGCTGGTGTCTCAACTCAGCAAAGTGGTGATTTGGGGCTGGAACCACTGGACCACCCTGATAATCTGATTGGAGGAGGCATGGCACAAATTTCGCCTCCTCATTTACTGTGTGCACTCTAATTTGTGGGTTCCTGGGTGTCTCTTCACCTCTGCTCAGCTCCCAGCAGTGCCCACAGCCCTGAGCACCCTCCCTGCTACCTGCTGATCCCACACACGAGGTCTTGGTATAGAGCTTGCCCCTGCAGGTTACTTCATTTAAAGTTACACACTAGCAAAGTGGTTGATACTGTTAATCAGAAGCACAGTCAAAGAAAGCCCACAAGCTTGAGAAGCCAGATCACTGCTGGATCACGCTGCTTTTCAATTATATTTTTCCTTTGGCAAAAACTTTGGCAAATCCCATAAGACAAACAGGCTTATTTAAAGGGTGTCACCCAGTGTGGTTTCCAAAGCTAGCTTGATTTCCAGCTGGCTACTGCTGGGTGAGGTGGCCATCCACCCATAGACAGTGCCTCTGTGTAGATTCTTATGGCTCTCCTGCACTCCTTCATACCTCTTTTGCAGGCTGCCTTCACCCCACCTTCTGCAGTCCCCTACATCTGCCAGTGCCAGTAGATCCCATCAGACAACACTTTCCCCTCCCTGTATCTAAGCCCTTGGCAACATGATCCCAGCTGGGTACTTCATGTCTGTACCCCAACGGTAGCTCAAGATCAGTCAAGGGTGATATCTGAGCCCACACCCTACCTTACATGGCCCCTGTGTGCCCTGCAACTGTTGGAAAGAGCTGTTCTGGAGAGCTCTGTGAAAGGCAACACTGGGCAGCAGAGGACTTTTCATCTCATTTTGGTCTGTGAAGAGTCCAGCTGAGCACATATCTCAACCCAAAGGTCTGAAAAGGAAGGGAGGAAGAGATAACGGAGAACATGAACCCCTTTAAAGTCATGGAACAATCTGAAAGTGAAAGCATCTGGCATTAGCTAAATGCTATGGGGACATGGTGGAGAAAAGTATCCAAAGCAGGGCTAAGGTTAGGAGAAGGTCAGAGCACATCCGTGATTCCAAGGTCACAATTGGCACAGAAGAACCATGAGGCAGGATGGTTTTGCAAAGGTCATGCTGTTACCTTCAAATCAAAAGCAATATTCAGCTTTCAGGTCTGGTGGTGAGAGGGAGAGCTAGGGACAGCTGAGGCCCCAACCTGGCTTGCCATTGGAGGCCAGACGGTTCACCTAGGGAAGGGGGGAATAAAACACCTTCAGTGTCAGCCGTAAGGCTGGCTTTCTGTTTATAGCAGCCCTGATGGCAGAGTGAGAAACATGCAGAGAGAGGCTGGTTAGAGGGATGAGGGGGGTGGAACACTAGCCCGCAAAGTCAATAGTAATTCAATACCCTCCTGACATTTTTGGTTGGCAGAAGGATAGATATTTAAATCATAACCTTCTCTCTCCTTTAACCTCCATCCCAAACTAAATAAATAAATAAGTAAATAAATAAATAAATAACCCCAGTGGCCCCTGTTTTGGCCTGCCAAGAACTCAGAGCATTTGCAGTACGCTGGCAGGGCTGCACTTCAGTCACCGTCAGCTGAGCCTTTTCCTTGACATTGCAAATGCTCACTCCCCTTCAGCTTTCGGAGGGGCATGGAGGACCAGGAGCCAGCAGAACTGGCCCTGGATTTGGCTGGGACCTGAGCATGTGTCCCGCAGTTGCCGTGCAACCAGTGGCTCAAGGCATGGTGCAGTAGTGCATACGTGCTGATTTGCCCATGCAACAGCCAGCTTTTGCCAAGTTCACTGACCTCTGGCACAGCACGCACCAGCCCCAGCTGGGTCTGTCTGGAAAAGCAGGAGGAGAGGGTGAATGTTTGGAAAGAAATGGAAGAAGACGGGGAGAAAGGGAAAAAAGCTCTGGTTTCCGTTTGCACCCTCTGTCCATGTGTCCAAATCCACAGGGCAATGAATCCAGCAAACACTCAGTGCATCTGGATGAATGATATTAGAAGTCCTTAGACCTGTTTAAATCACTTTCCAGCTGCCTAACTCTAGCTTTTGGAGGCAGTTTTGAGGTGAGGCAGTTTGAAAAGCTTGGTTTCATTTGTTACCAAGTCCTCCAGTTCATACCCAGTGGAGAAAAGGGACTAGCAAAATTTAGGAAGGCTGTAACAGAAGACAGTAGAGACATTGGCCTGCTAACAGATTTCCACCCTTCTTTTGTAAACTCATAAATCTGTAATGCTGCTGATTGTTTTTAATCTTCCTGAAAATGCTGCTCCTATTTTTTTTTTTTTTTTTTTTGCCTCTTTTTGCAATTCCTCCGAGTACATTCTTTTTTTAAAGGAAATCTAGTCTGAACTGAAGAAGGTCTCACTCCATGGCCATGCAGCAAGGAATTCTGGCTCCCCAGTTCAAAAAAGACAGGGATCTCCTGGGCAACCTGATCTGAATGCGTATGTTTGGTGGCCCTGCTAGGCAGGGGGGTTGGAACTACATGATCCTTGAGGTCCCTTCCAACCCGGGTGATTCTGTGATTCTGTGATTCTGTGATCTCCTAGAAGGAGTCGAGCAGAGGACAACAAAGATGATAACGGGCTTGGAGCATCTCCAGTATGAGGACAGGCTGAGTAACCTGGGTCTGTTCAGCCTGGGGCAAAGAAGACTGAGAGGGGATCTGATTAATGTTTATAAATATCCAAAAGGAAATGGGAGTTAAATGAATGAGACCAGGCTCTTCTCTGTGGTGTGTAGCAGTAGGACAAGGAGCTATGGCCCAAAACTTGAACACTGGAAGTTCCCTACAGACGTGCAGAAGAATTTCTTTACATTAAGGGTGATGGGGCACTGGAACGGGCTGCCCAGAAAGGTTGTGGAGTCTCCTTCTATGGAGATGTTCAAGACCCGTCTGGACACCCACCTATATGACTTATTATAGGGTACCAGTTTGAGCAGGGAGGTTGGAATCAATTATTTCTTGAGATCACTCCCAACCCCTACGATTCTGTGATTCTGTGATAATTCAAGACGCGTCTGTTATGTCCTAGAATACAGTGGATGGTGGCACTGGGTTATGGATTGTGTCTCTGAGTGAATGAACATGGGGACATGTTCAAGGGATGTTTTGGGACACTGAGCTTCATATATCATTACGTTTTTCCTGACTATAGAGCGTTCAGAGCCCATATGGACGTTCTCCACAACCAGCACTTCTCCTAGATCATCTAACAATCCAAGCATGCCTTCAGCCCTGATGTGCTCCCAACATGAATGTAAGTATCTTCTTCCTTTCTGCATCTAATAATCCCTAGGCTCTTCCTTGCTCCCCACTGAAATGAGTCCATACTCCTTTTCCCATCCTACTTTGGACAAATCGAGATTTGACACCAAAGCAGTTAGCAATGGCCAGTTCAATTTCTATGTCTAAATTTTGTGGTTTTATGGGTTTTTTTTTCTATTTTTCTTTGATTCCTCTGGAAATGAGGAGGCTGAGAACATGGAAAGCTAGAACATCTGACAACCATCTTTCTGGCTGCTACCTTCGCTACTGACATAACTCCATCTGCTTAGCCACAGCCTACAGTGCCTTTGGATGGGTCACAGAAACCCCACTGTTGAGGAAACAGCCCCATCTTACTCATTTCTACTTGTTGCCACTCTGCCTTTGCAGTGCACACCTCTACCTTAAGAGGAAGTCACTCGTGCTCTGTAACTGCAATGGGCAGAGTTTCTTACATCTACTTGTTCTGGGGCAACAACACAAGTGTTTCTCACTGAGATTTCACTCTGCTCGGAAATAATGTCAGCCAGCTGCAAGAAGTGGGAGCTAGAGCAACCAGAGACTGTGCTGGGAGTCTGGAAGGAGGAACCCAAGGCCAGCTCAGTGCTTTAAAGGAAGAAGAATACATCAGAGGCATCCAAGACAGCTGGAGATGACCTGCTTCAAGGCAGGAGCTGGAATGCCATCCTTCCCATGGGAACACAGAAGACACGAGCAGTGGCATCACTCAGCCTGTCTAGAGGCCAGATTGCTTCTTTAAGTTTTCTGCCCCCATAAACCAAGTTGAGTGAATGTTGCCCAAGCACCCCAGTACTGTTTTGATGCGCAATACTGAAAACCAAAAAAAACGTAAAGCCATGACAGTTGCTTCTTACAAGTCATCCTCCTGATGTTCTCCAAGCACTTCTCCCCAACAGAAACTTACCATTCAGCCCAAGTAAGATTAAATAAGTTTGAAACCCTAAATAAAATTAAATAAGTTTGAAACCCTCAGGCCTCTGATCCTTCTCAGCCCTGGCTGCGCTGTGTATCAATAGATGCTGGCATTTGAACTCCCTTTTCTTCAGAGTCTCATTGGCAGGGAAGAGAGGTCCTCATGCCTGAGGGTCCATAGTGGCATTCTGAATTTGATATTTTCAAAGTTATTCTCATGTGAACACACTGCTGGAGGAGGAGGAGAGACAGAATCAATTGTACAGATCAATACCTGTACTGATGTGTTTCCTGGTGACAGGCCAGATGGCCAATTGACGGTAAACAAAGTCTGAGCAAAGTCTGGACACAGCAAGAGGTTCCAGATGGGAACCAGAAGTTTAGAGCTCATCAGAGCCATCTCCACGCATGCATTGCAGGCACCAAACACTAATAAATGATTGACAGAGCTGTTGTGCATTAGCCTCAAGCTTTCGGATCTCTCCCACTGTTTCTGGATAATTAAAAAATAAAAATAAAAATAAATAAAAGATGAGAGAGATTTCTTCTGCTTTTGGAGAAATTAATTAGATCTTCAGCTCTTTACAATACTAAGAGCCCTTTTTCCCATTCCCCAAATTCTTCAGACTGCAGATCAGTCCATTCATTTGAAGACTGCTCAAAGAGTTCTTTCCCTTCAAAGTCTATCCAAAGTATTAAGCATCCAACTCTTCCCTGAGGCTCTACAGAATAACACAGTAAGTCCTTTCCCCCTTTTGTACGCTAAATGATCTTTTATCTTAAATTTCTCAGCTTTTCAGAATATATGAAAGGGATATGAAGCCTGGACATATAAGCTATTGCTCACAACGAAGAGCTGATATAAGGAAATTACTTGGACTTATTGCCTCCCTTAGACTCCACTCCTGCTTTTCCACTTTCTCTTCACTTTCTGTATATTTCAGCTGCTGATAATCTGAACATTCATCTGCTTCTTCTGCCTCTTGGTCCATTTTCCCTGTGTTCAGATGTATTTGTACTATCTTGGGTGCTGCATGTTCTTTTCCATGGGGCAGTCACACTGTGAGGCCTGTAACAGACTGAAGGGAAAAAAGGTTTACCTCTTGGAGAGCCTCCATCTGCTTTGTCAGGAGCAGCTCTAGCTTTCAAGAATGGCCTGAAATTGGTGGGACTCCAATATCCAACTATGTCCAGATATAGCTGTGAGAATCATTCTTTGTGGGTTTTGTTTTTGGTCAAAGCTTGCTTCCTGAGGTATTTCTTGTGATAAGACTCTAACTGATTTATTGAAGAAGCAAGTGATGGGTGCTACCATGTGACAATCAACATCACTTTGTGGACATTCGAAAGCACCTTTCTTCAGAGATGTCTGCCTCTGTAAGAGAGAGCTCAGGAGTATTTACTGGCAGAAGATCTGACCTGTGACTAAATAGCTCCAGATTGGTATGGGAAAACTGGGGAATGATACCATCGTGTCCTGTGAAAAACAGGATGCAGGTGAGCATCCCTGCTCCCTTTTATCTGCTGGCAAGGCCTGGAAGATGGGAATAAAGGAATTTCTGATGAGATCCCAGAGCCAGAAGCTGCCACTCCAAGGAGAGCTGACTCATCCATTTTGGATTTGAGCTGTCACTCCAAAGAGAGCTGAGTCAACCACTTCGGACTTGTAAATAAGTTGGTACCACCACTGAAAAGTCATTGTTGTCAACGGAACAACAACACCCGATGACCCACCACTACTGAAGATCAATGACTGAACTACGAACCACGCTGGATCCATGGTGTTAACTATCTCCCTCTTGCTTCCTACAAAGACTCCTTGCTTCTATTTCCTACCTTTTCTATCACCCCCCTTCCTTCCCCATTACCCTAATTCATAATAGTGTCCATCCTCCCCTTCCCCATCTCCCTGATTAAGATTTGTAATAAACTGGTCGGACCAACATTTGAACCATTGTTTCTTCATCTCACATATACATACATGCATACATATATCAGAGAATCTCCTCTCCCTCCTATAAATTGGAATGAGACAATAGCACAAGTGGACACACACATCTGGAACTGAAGTTGGCCTTGCCACTCCTTTTCTAGCCTCCTCCTTGAACACAGACATCCAGATTTAGAGAAGAATACCCAGAAGGAAGAGTTATCACTAGAGAAGACTTTCTCTGATATCTCAGCAGAACACAGTAGCTCTGCACCAGTGAGCTTCATCCTCATTCTCTGACTTTCAGTTCTCCCATTCAATAATCTTATTTATTATACAGCAGCAGGATTAGACAGTGCCTGCTGGTTGACATGCTCTGATGGGCATTTATACCTGCTGGCACAGAAGCAGGCACATGCCAGTACTCCTGTGTGCTGATGAGAAGCACCGTTTCCTCCTCCTCTTCAGCTCATGCTGAGGTTTCCTGAAAGCCAGCATTGATCTTGTGTCCAGGTGTGTGCTTGTGTCTCCAGGATTCTTGCTGCTTAGGGCAATGCCAGCCATCAGTGAACTGGATGAGGCCAAACTAGACCCCTACTGAGTCTTTGTGATTCAACTGTCACATAATGGAAACTTCCAGTGGCACACTGCCTTCAGGTACACTGAGGCTATCCTGGCATCCCACAGGGCATGGAGCAAGGAGCTGCCAAACAAAGGCTGGATGGTGCAGCTAATTAATACTTCGGGTTCCCACCTGGAGGTTGGTTTTAACATCCCTCCCTTTGCCTTCTGACAAGTTGTGTAAGAGCATCTCCATCAAAATAGGCTGGATATGCTCATCTGCAGCCCTCTAGGAACTCCTCCATCACCTTGACTCCTTCTGGGAGCTCTGCCATCCTACTGAACACTGGAGAAGTGATTCTGATGGTGTTGCAGAGCTGAGAGAAGTGGGAGGAAGAAGAGGATGGAGTTCCCCAGCACTTTTGCATACAGCCATGCTTTAAGGCCCCTACCCAGAGGAACTGGCCTCTAAGACTAACCTCAGAGCAAACTGAGCAGCGAAAAATATTTGGCTTGCAGAGAAGATAGATGGAAGGAGCTGTCATGGAAATGTTTAACAAGCTAGAGAAAAAAAAAAGATATCCTGAGCTCCCAATTCTACAGTCCAACAGCAGGAGGACACCTCAGATCTCTGCATGTGACCTTACTGTCATCAGATTAGCTGGAACTCACTGCCTCAGGGTGCTGTGGGGCACAAGAGCTAAGCAAGATTTTTTGAGAGGAAGGTAGCACTTATAATGCTCTCCAAATGTTCTGTTGGAATAGGAACTATTTAAAACACTTCAGACTTCCAACAGAAATATGTGCATTCTTGACTCTGATAAACCATTCTCAAGGCTGTCGGGCTGAGAAGGAATTTGCCCTCCAGCTTGGTTAGTCTAGAACCAACCACTGCAGAGTATCTAGCAGAATTTCTCTGGAGGAACTGGTAATAACCGCTTTTGGACTTTGAGTGGTCTACAGAGCTATAGAGTCATGAGACTGAATCAGACATCTGCTATGACCAGAATGGGCAGCATCTGGCCACCCGATCTGTGAATATTTATGGTTCTGACCTAACTGTGATGTATGGGAATATAAAATGCTTGAAAGAACAGGATAACAAGCGTAGAAATGTGCATGACAGGTACTGGCACAGAAGGATTCATATCCTCCAGGTGATAGATCTCATGTTGTAAGGCAAACTGAATTTAAAGCTATGCTCCAAGATTGCTAGCAGCATCCCACAGTTCTGTAGTGCAGTGAGCCAGACAAATGGCAGCTACAGCTCCGTCAGCAGGACCATAAGTATGCACATACTCAGTGGCAATCTCCCACCCCCGGTATGTCTGAGGCTGCCCAGCCTCAAATACTTGCTGCTCATCTCGTTGAGTGTGGGACTTTGATTCAGTTCCATGCACGCAGCTTTGCAGTTCAGGCCCTGCAAACAATAGTTCGGTCACTCCGAGAGCAGTGAGCATGAAAAGGGTGTGACTGGAGCCGAGCCAAGCCAGTTCTCTCATGCGAGCTCAACCAGCAACTCTGCGGAGTGTCCGCAAAAATGGTTTTGGCAGGCCCCCTTTGGATGGTTCCAGTTCAAGAGAAACCGCTGGTAGATTTGGAGCTGGCCACATGCAGATCACAGCTGCATGCAGCCAACAGCACAAGCCCTCTTTTCTGGAAGAGCAACACTTCCAGCACGTGTGATCTTGATGCTTTATTTGACGTACTATACTGCTCTTGGGTGTCACCTCTTCTCTCCCCATCCCAACAGTCCCTCGTGGCCATACCTCCTCTCTGCCCAAACCTTTCTTCCCTCCCCGCTCCTCTCCCATGCTCCCCCCTCGCTCCCCACAGCAGATTCCTCTTTCTCCTCCGCTTCAGACTCACATCTCACCCTAGTTTGAGCGCTTGACATAGGAAATTGTCGCGCTTAAACAAAAACTCCTCTACCATGAGAAAAACAGCCTCTCTGTAAATTCAATGGGACAGGCACCGTTTTACCTCTGAGAAAGATCACCCAGCAAAAATCCTCTGTATGCAGCTCAGGTGCAGCTAACAAACAGGAACTATGAACAAAGCTTGTGAGGGATGAAATGGTAAAACTGACCTTACTGGAATAAGTTCATTCCCTTTTGCAATTATCTGGGGACAGACTTCACCTCAGGCTGAATAAATACAGCAGCTTAGTTTCCAAAGCTCCAGTTAGTATTTCATACATGGTGCTCAGTTGTGACTTGGCTCTGCTTCAGACAGAGATGGGTAGGTTTGTTCCAACTGATTTGTTCTTTAAGTGAAAATGAGAGCTGGTACAATGCCAGCATTGCAGCGCCCATGTAGTGCACGATGTCAGTCAGGAAATGCAGCTTTGGACCTCAGGCTAAGAGCTGGGCTCTGACACCAGTGTACTAGATGATCAAGTTCTTCAGGTTTTAGCTTCTTGAAGGAAAAAGGGGACATCACAATGCAATACCAGAGTAACCATGAGAGTTTCTTCCCATTTCTTGCAATCAATATAAGGTCTCACTTGTAAAGATTACAGATCATCTGTTTGAAATGTAAGAAATAGGCATTCACACATCAGTGAGTATCTCCCTTCTAGAGAACAGAAAAGCCAAATTCCATGTTGGTAAGAAGAAGGAGCTTTCCACACCTCTTCGCCATAGTCAGCTCTTGCATCACTTGTGTAGGCCTTGGTGCAGCATCACAGCTGGGCAACCACCTAAGCCCACCTTTGGGGTTTCAAGGTGGCAGAGGACATAAGCTACCAAGAAGGGGACCTGTGCCTCATTCTGTAGGTTTTCTTAGGCCGTGTGATTTGTGACCTGCAGTGAGGATTCCTGAGCCTCAACGTAAAACAATTCAAGTAGGTCTTAATTGTTTTTTTTCCGTCTAGTTTCAAAGTCCATTCTCTTGATGGATGGGCTCTGAAAATCTCAATTTCTTTTTGAGAATCTAAATCTAAATACATAACCAAATAACCAACCTAAGCAAATAATCAAATACTCAAAGGATATAAA